AAAGCGGGCCAATCTAATCCTTCAATCCTGGCTGGGCTGAACAATCCGGATGAAATCAACCAACACGGATATGGGGATCCATAAGATCAAGAGGGTCATTCTGTCTTCCTACGGCTCTCCACAAGTCCACTCTTCGGTCCACGGCTCCCGCAAAAGCCTATTCCGGCCCGCCACAAGTATGGAGTTGTATCTACAGACCCAGCGAAAGGTTCTCAAGACCATCGAAGAAGCAGCCCATCACCCAAGAGCCAGCCCGCGGAAGACTTTTCCCTCCCATCAACACCTCGTTTATTTAACACTGTCTTTACTGGAATGCTGGTATGCAGAAAAATGACTCGTTCCTGGGACGCATGTGCGTGTACGCATACCACTGCAGCACATGGCTGCTGAGCTAGATCTTGAATCGCAATCTTCAACGACGATCACTGTCCACCTTCCTCTGGGGAGGACATTCCGCCGCCCCCGTCGAAGCTAGCGAACGTAGTGCTGTTCCAAAGACCCCGTGGCATCCGTCCTGGCTTGCTGGGTGTATTAGCCTGAAACTCCCCTTGTTTTCCATGAGTAAGCGGAGGAGGAGGATCGTCACGTAATTTACCCTTTATTATTCTTTCCGAGTTCTGGGGAAGCGAGCTGGCGCCAAGATTAAAGAAGCGAAGCTATTTTCAGTTAGAGAATCGCTGATCTATACCCAAGATGGCACCATGTAATGAGCTAGCATGAATCAACCTCAGCCACTGTAATCTTGGCGGCGTTTTTGTTGAGCTAAATCGACCAGCCTTCAAAATGCCAGGAGCAAGGAAAGCATCATCCTCGCAGAACTGGCCTTGTTCTTGGACGGTAAGGTAGAAGTCAGACTAAACGTGACTGGGTACGAAGCGAAATGTATCCAGATTTGTGGGAAGTTTCGGGCCCTCTTCCCTGCGCCTCCGCATCGAGCCAGCAAAGAAGAACTCCGCGTAATCGGGTACCAAGATGTGAATGCAGACAAGCGAGGACATGGTTAGCGTATCCCATAGTCTATCCCAGCAAGGAAACGATATCCGCTCAGGACACCACTTCATGCCCTTTCATGCCTAGCTGCCGGCTGCACAAACGAATGAGAAGAGCAGGAATTCTTTCCATCGGCCTTTGATCGACACACTTACTCGAAAACCAGGCGTCGGCCGGACGGGGGATCAACGATGTGGGGAGCTGTTTAGAAAGGGGAGCCAGTCACGGGGCGACCCTGCACTCTGTGAGCGATGTGACAACTCGACCTAACGGGAATGGTGAAGTCAATTTCTTCCCCTGGTCACGTAGAATACTCGTATATCACCGGCTGTCGCGTGAACTACTGCTGCTGTCGCAACCTGCCAAGCATCGCTCGGATAGATAATGACCCAACCCAAGCTCACCACCCTTTACAAACCATCTAATGCTTTCTTTCGCTCCCCTTTCGCCCTCGTTCCTCGGTAGCCTGGCCTTCCCCATGATGTCGCCATGGCCATTGAATTTCCAACTTACAATGGCGTCGAGGTCGTAGCCTTACCACCTCCCGGATATGAGGTCGATTTCGACAACCGGAAGCAGCAAAAATGGCTGGAGCACATCTTAATCTTCTGTTTCATGGCCCCGCTGGCACTACTGGCACTACTCCAGCGGTTTTATACGAAGATCTTCCTCTCCAAAGGTTTACAAATTGACGACTGTAAGGCCTACTTTTTATTTCAACCCCATCGCGGCCGCTAGAGTGGATGGACCTGACAGATCTTATAGTTTTTATGTTATTGGGCTGGGTAAGCCTCGTTCAATTTTATTTGTCGCCCTCAAACGGCGATCAACTTGGTGGATCCTTTACTTACTGAAGTATCAGTTGACAGCAATTTTAACTCAAGTCCTAATGCTAAGTATGATACTGTTTGCAACCACACATAACCAGTGACAGGATCTAATATTGTCGTCAATTCAGCGTCGATATCCAAACGATTATTCTGCTCTCATTCGTTCGAGATGCCCTTGGCTGATTACGAAAGCTACGCCTTGGTAACACCACCCCGTTTCCACGATCACCGAACCGAACGAGGCTTACATGGGAGATTATAGTACAGTTATGTGACGGCACCGATTTATATGATGTGTAATGGGTTCACGAAATTATCTCTTCTGTTGTTCTACCTGCAGATATCACCGCAGACATGGTTCCGCCGTGCTGTTTGGGTGAGCATCGCCGTCGTGAGCCTCTCGTCGCTCATCATCGTGTGCTTCATGTACTTCGGATGCAGCCCGCCGCAAAAGGCGTTCCGGCTTAAAACAGAGGGACATTGCGTCAACGCGGGCATCTTCTATATGGCCACCGCCGCTTCGAATATCGTTACCGACGTCATTCTATTCGTCCTCCCTATTCCGATGGTCTACAGCTTGCGCATGCCCCGCATTCAGAAGTTCGGAGCCATGATGGTCTTCGGTATTGGATCAATGTATGCTTGGTTAAACTGGCAAGGCGTCTTAGAACTATGTCTAACAAAATCACAGAACGATCGGCACGTCTGTAGTACGTCTGGCCCTCCTTCCTGTCGTCCTCAAAAGCCCGGATCCGTCATGGGATGGTTGTCCCGCCGATGTATGGACGTAAGCCTCGACTACCAGTTCTTGCTTCTTACCCAAATTTACATTAGCTAATTGTGTTGGTTAGATTCGTGGAGGCCAATCTCTTCATTATCTGTGGCTCTATGCCTACCCTCCGAAAGTTCTTCAAGCACTTCTTGCCCCGCCTCATGGGCTCATCAAGTGGCCAATCCTCGGGTTATAGAAACCCAGCCAGCCCCGGCCCTTCAAACACTTTGCAGAGCGGTGGCAACATGATCAGTCGCCTTCGACACAAACGCAAGTCGTACGCACAATTCGCTTCGGATGGGGAGGAAAACGAGATGCAGGACTTCCGCGGCGGGGACAAGACGAAGAAAGAGAGGAGTGTGACCGTTACGACAGCAGATCGGTCGCAGGTCCCAGGAGATAATCAAAGCGATGAGGGGGCCATCTTACAGACGAAGAGTTTTACATTACAATATAATTAGGTGAACGCGAGCGGCTGACGAATCAACCCAAACAACTCTCCAGTCCTCACCTAGGCACCGTGGAGCCTCGACGGCCTAGGATTAGTGATGGGGGGAATTGGCAAAGAGCGATTGCGTGATGGATGACTTTCGTCACCGGATCGAGATGGCGTGAGGGGATGATTATTTATACTTTCAAGTCGGCGACCGATCAGCCCCGCTCCGGCTAATAATAAAACTGAGATGCGTTACTTTTGTGCTTCGCTTCCAACCACTTTCATCCAGCGCCGTTCCCAAACCACCGATCGGATCCAAATCCAGATACACCATGACCTCTACCGATACCACCAAGCCTTGGCATTCGGGGCCAGCGGATGGTTGGCACGGTGTCATTGCACCTGGCTCCCGCTTCCCACCCTCAGCTGATCGATACCATTTATACATCGGCCTCTTCTGCCCCTTTGCGCACCGAGCCAACCTGGTCCGTCTGCTTAAAGGGCTGGGCGATATTCTGCCCCTCTCAGTCGTCAAGCCATACCCCAAGGGCGATGATAATGGATGGCCCGGTTGGGAGTTCCCCGGATGTCGTGGAACAAGCGACACATATCCCGGCGCAATTGAAGATCCCCTGTTCGGCTCCAGGTACATGCACGATCTGTACTTCCGCGCCGATCAGGGCTATAAGGGTCGCTACTCGGTCCCGGTCATCTGGGACAAGGTCGAGAACACCATTGTGAACAATGAGAGTATCGAGATCCTCCGGTGGCTACAGACTGCGTTCAACGACTTACTCCCCCAGGGGAGCCCACAGCAGCTCCTCAACTTGTACCCCGACCACCTCAAATCAAATATCGACGAGGCTACGGCTTGGATCACGAGAGATTTCAACTCTGGCGTGTACAGAGCTGGCTTCGCGACTGACCAGGAGACGTACAGCAAGAATGTCCCCATTGTGTTTGCGGCGCTCAACCAGCTGGAGCTCCTGATTCAATCGAACGGAGGGCCTTATGTTCTCGGAAAGGATCTGACGGAGCTCGATGTTCTGGTGTATGCAACTGCTATTCGATTCGACACTGTTTACGTGCAGCATTTCAAGTGCAACCTCGGAACGATCCGGGCTGATTACCCCGTGGTCAACGAATGGCTGAAGAACCTGTACCACAACGTGCCTGGATTCAAGGAGAGTACCGATTTCAAGCACATCAAGGAGAATGTAAGTGCTCGCCCTTTGTCCAAGTTTGATCTTAACGGCCCGATGCTAACCTGGCCATAGTATACAAAGAGCCACGCTAAGATCAATCCCTTGGCCATCACACCACTTGGCCCGTACCCTGATATTCAGAACTTGCCTGTGAATTTGGACTTCAAGGGCATCAAAGCCGGTTCAATCGATCACCCCCTCGTCCTCGCGCACCAGAAAACTCTACCAGGTATTTGAATGACTCTCCATACGGCAACTAGCTTGATTTTCACCCGTAGGTATCACCGAGATAAACGATTGGGGTAGTCTCCTGATTACATTCATAAGTCAGGGTGGCGAGATTCTGTCTCACCCGCGCAAGGGCAAGATTTGGAATGACTGGAATGAATAGAAAGGAGATTGTCGGGTTTTTGTTTTACCGTTAGTAATATTCGGAGAGATTTTCATATTGAATAATGACTGTACAAGAGATATTCCCCTTTCAGGAGGACTCTTTCAGGTATGATGCCTGTGGTGCGATATCATTGGGAGATATCCTGTCATGGGATACGTGAAATGTCAACAAGAGCACCATCTTAATCAACGCGACGGAGGAGCAGGAAATTTCCTAGGCATGCAAGTCGGCCAGTTTGCGTCACTGTTCTGAGACAGTTATTGGAAAATGATGCAATTCGATTTTCCCCTTCATAAATCCCGAATCCTTCCCTTGCTGGCAGAAGAAAGCCGTTGTCTTCTGATCGTCGCCCAACGACGGACATCCACCCATCATGTCCAGCCCGACTGAAAGGAGTATTTCTGAGGAAGATGGGGATTCGTCCCCTTTCCTTCTCTCAGAGGACTCCAGTAAAGATCCGATGAGGGAAAATGATTACAATGAAGGCTTTGACCCCATCAGCGACTCGGCAAATCCACAAGAATGGCCGTTGTCTTATAAGCGAGGCATCGTGGCCTTACTGGCTGGATCTGCGTTTACAGTGTACGGACATCTAATCTAAGAAGATTTGAACTCTTAGACCAAAAGCTAATACCTGGTTGCAGAACGTTCAACAGCATGTCGGTCATTCCAGTAGCAAATCAAATCGCGGAGGACGTTGGAAACGGGGATGGGTCGAAAATGGTTTCAGCTCTCCCCGTCACAATATGGGAGTTGGGTGAAGCGACTGGGTGCCTTCTCATCGCGCCGCTCTCGGAAATATTTGGGCGTTACCGCGTGATTAATATTTGCAGCATTATGTTCATTTTCGCGACCATCATTGGTGCTGCATCGACATCCATGTCGCAGTTCATTGTCTCGCGGGCACTTGCTGGCATGGTGGTAACCTCAAATGTTCTCAACCCGGCCATTATTGGAGATATATTTCCCCCAGAGCATCGAGTTACTGCGTTGAGCATTGTCCAGTTCGCACCAGTTCTTGGTGGCACAATTGGCGCGGCTGCCAGTGGTGCCATCTCGGAACTGTTAGGTTGGCGTTTTGTGCTTGGGACTAGCATCCTATTAGCAACCCTTTGCCAGTTCGGTTTCTTGACCTATTATCGAGAAACCTACAAACCCGCGATACTGAGAAAGAGAGAGGCTACGCTGTATGAAAAGTTGGAGGACACATCAGGCGTCGACAGTCTGGGGGGATCATCGTACCTTGAACAAGTATCAACCGGCATTTTCTTGTCATTGATACGACCTGCTTTAGTCATTTTCGATTCGGGCGTTCTTGCTGCCCTGTCAGTCTTTGGTTCCGTTTTGTTTGCACACTATTGTGTCCAAAACGTGACGCTTCCCCCAATTTTGGAAGACACCTATGGAATGTCTCCGGTTGAAGCTGGAAAAGCTTTTCTAGTAAATGGTAAGACCTCTCAGCAAAACGCCGATCGTTGATGCTAACATGATATTGGTGGCAGGCGCGGGATCGATAATCGGTATTGTCATATGCAAATTTACTATTGATAGAATATACCTCAAGCTTCGAGCAGCGAACAAGGGAATCGGCCGACCTGAGTACCGTCTTCCCATGGCCATAATTGCAGCCTTGATGATGCCGCTTGCCCTCGCCCTGTATGGCTTTTGCGCTGAATATAGGCTCCCGCTGGGTCTCTTGCTCGTGTCCGTCGCGTGGACCCGTATGTCTATCGTGCTGGGCCTCGTGCCGGTCATGGCATACGCGGTGGATGCCTGCAGTCTTTACTCGGCCTCTGCGGCGACAGGAATTGTTGTCCTCCGATGTATTGCTGGCGCATGCCTACCGCTGCTCACGGTGCAGATGGTAGAGTGCGTCGGCTATGGCACAAGCTATATTCTTTTAAGTGCTATCAGCCTGGGACTCGGGTTGGTTCCTATTTTAATAATGCGTTTTGGGCCACATTGGAGGCAGCGTTCAGGATATACATCTTGATATCTTGATATAGTAGTGAAAGGAAACTGAAGAACCAAGCTTGAATTCTCCAGCAGTGTGAATGAAGCCGTTTTCCCTCCATCATTCGTGCTGGAAGCGCCATATAATATCCATCCAACTGAATTCATTGTGGTGATCACATATTTCTATCCATTTCTTGAGGAAGATCTCCCTTTTTTAGCATGCCGTGTGCATTTAAATTAAGAATATTCTATTGACTGTGTCCCAACCTGCCTTTTAAGTATAGGGTACCCAATTTATGAAGAGTTTTCCGCAAGGCTCTGCCACTCGCTTAGAATCTCATACTGTGAGCCGAGTGCTTAAGCCTGTTGCTTCGTGTATCGCATCAACGAAGTCGATTGTGGCCACGCCAATGGGATGTTTCTTAGGCTTGAGACTGTTCTGTTTGGTTGAATTGTAAAAATGATCCTGTGTGTGCATCCTGCTTGCCGCTTCCACAGCGGATTATTAATTGATCACTGGACAGGGTATTGGAAAAGCGGCCTTTAATTGGTCACAAAGGGCCCAGGCATCAATCTAATGGATGCCTGGCACTGCCTAAACATTGATCTGGAGCCTGGAGCAGCAACACAGATAAAATCAGTCGCTGGTGCTGCTTCACCACATACTATGCCTCCCATCAAGGCACGCACAAGAAAGGTCAACATGGTCCAGACAAGGAGCCAGTGGCGTGCCTCCGCGTCCAGACTGTCACCAGAGCTGCTCCGCATGATATTCGCGTGGTTCTGTCCACACTGTCGCGGCAATTTTGAATGGCAACATTGGGCTGATCGCCACGATGGCGAACAACACGAACAGGATGTCTGCTCACTTTTTAACCTCTGTCGGGTCTCAGTAGCATTTTGCAATGCCGCTCAAGAAGTGTTGTATCATAGCTTCGATACTCGTTATCCCACCACGAGCCGATCGAGGCTGCAGCTCGAGCTGTTTTTGCGCTCCATTGCAGCACGTCCGGATCTCGCTCGCTCAGTCAAAGCGGTCATTCTGGACCCAAGTTCAATTGCAAACCTAGATTTCTTCGCAAGCCGGGATGCCTTTGATCATTGCGCGCATGCGCTTGGCACCAGCGCCCTTGACCTCTGGACGCAGACAGAGCATGCCTATCGGGCCAACCCACAAACTCAGCATCAAGGCTGTGAAGCATTCTTCCTAAGAGATGCTGACCCTGGTACCTGGGCGACACGCCCGTCCATTCCTTTTCTCGCCAGCGAGCTCCTTACTATGCTGGTAGCCTTGCTGCCCAACCTGAGCTACCTCAAGGTAGACAGTCCCATTGAGCAACTTGACCTGTCTCGAGTGACCTCGGATGCGATTGGCCTCACCAGGCTGCCTCTCAAGACTCTTGATACAACGCTCCGCTTTGAATCTCTCTTAGAATTGTCGCCAGGTGTAGGGACTCTAGTATGCCGATCTGGGCTTTCCTGGGACAGCCTTCCCAGTGTCCAGTCGCTCGTCATCGCTACTCACTCTGTAGACCACCTCGCCATCCAGCGCGTTCTAGCTGCATGCACTGGCCATCTCTCTAATTTTTCATATAGAGGAGTTAGAGCGACTTCCGAAGAGATTGTCCGCGTCCTCAGCACTGAAAGGCTACACGCCACTCTCGAGTCAATCCATATCGACTGTCGATCGCCGGCTATTGGTTTCCTCCTTCTGGATCGGATCATTCCGAGCTTCACACCCTTTATAAATCTGCGGACTCTCTTCCTCAGCATCTCCCCCATGAACTCTGACACAGAATCTGATAGCCAAGCCCTTGTGAACATCCTGCCTATCAGCATTACGTCCCTGACGCTCGTGGTTAATGAGGGGGATCCGTCATTCGCTCGCCTTCGAGACCAACTCGTCTGTCTCGCAAAAGCGAAAGCAAAAGCCTCGGTTTTCAAGCACCTGAGCCGGGTAAGATGCGATGCCTTGCAAGCATGCGACCAGTACGTGAAAGACTTGTTCAAGCAGGTTGGTGTTGATTTCATGTACCAAGAATTCCCGAGGTCGGACTCTTATGTTCCAGCCGACATTGAACCTCTTTTCCTCCTGCCATTACTGGAGTCGGATGATGATCTGTAGGGCTTGACTTGGGAAGGAAGGGATAAAATAGTGAATTGTAGATAGAATAGTAGATAGAATAATAGATAGCACAATATCAAGAAACCGAATATCCTGGCCTTCCTCGACCTAGCACGAGTTGAGTGCCTGAAAAAGCTGATTAGGAGCAACTCGGTGGCTGGATATTTGGAATTTGCCGAAGATTGAACCAGAGATCAAAGAATAGCAGGTTGTATACAGCACCTTCGAATTGAGCCATCTGCTCAGTGGGTATTGAATTCTGCCCCTAATTCGAGCTACAAACTCAGCTCGATCAAATCAGGACCTCGGGATTGTCATGGGGTAGGCATCGTCTATGATTTAGATACGACATGTTCAATTGTGCGTCGATATTGAATTGAATACATAGCCCAGTTTTAGGAAACATATTTCCACCTTTGTATCAAATGGGTAGAAATATAAACAAGCAACTAAGAAATATCGAGGGCAGTTTCCTTTCCAAACAAACAAGCGGGCACTTCATCAAGCTTTACAACAGGGAAGAGAACCTGTCCGCAGAACTTTTGAATCACCAAGCACTCGACCCCACAACCATCAGCCCAAACTTTTCTCTCTCTATCCTACAGCACAGATTCTCCTACCTGGACCAGCCTTTTGGCCCAGCCCAAGTTCCTTTGACCATCGAGGCATAATATACCCAAGGGAAGAACTCCTTCTTCATGTGGTAGAAGGCTCTCCGGGGCACGGCCTGGTTAATACCAAACCATTTTCCAAAGGTCTCATCCGGAACTCCGCCATATTTGAATTCGGTCAATAGAACCTTGCCGTATTGTGTGACCAGTGGACAGGACGTGTACCCATCATACTTGGCATCGGGAGCCTTGCCTTCTATCGATTTGAGAAGATTTCGGACCAAAATAGGGGCCTGGGCGGTGATGGCGGCAGCTGTTTTAGAAGTAGGCAGACCCGAAGCATCACCAATAGACCAGACGTTGGAGAATTTGACGTGGCGAGTCGTCTCAGAATCCACATCGACGTATCCCGCCTCGTTGGCGATGGAACTATCCTTCACGAAATCATGAGCGCACATTTTGGGAGCCGCGTGCAGCAAATCAAAGTGCTTGGTGACTTTCCCATCTGGAGTATCGAAAATCGCCCTGTCGCCATTGATCTCGACAAGATCATGCTGGAAGAGACCCTCGACTCCGCGTTCTTTCCGGAGCTCGTCGAGCTTGGCGCTGTACTTGGGGACGCCGAACATGACGGGAAGACCAGTAGCAAAACTGATCTTGACGGGCGAGGACAAGTCTCCTGCACGGTAGAGTCCAGCCCTCTTCCAGTGATCCAACGCCATCCACATGAGCTTTTGAGGCGCACCGGCGCATTTGATGACGCCGGCAGGTTGCGTGAATATGGCATCGCCCCTTTGCAGCTTTTGGATAGTCTTGAACACCTTGTCGCATGTTTCATAGCCGTAGATGGTGGACACCATGCTGCTTGGGTCGGCAAGGGCTTCAGGCATTCCCTTGATCTTGCCATAGTCCATGTGGATGCCCGGGACGACAACGAGCTGCTGGTACTCGAGCCTGTCGCCATTCCCCAGTAGAATGGCGTTCTCCTCGGCCTGGATGGAGGACACGCTCTCCGGGTAGAATTTGAGGTGGGAATGCATCAGGTCCTTCTGGCGCCTGCGAAGATCGGTCTTCCTCTTGACACCGCCGCCCACCAGGGTCCAGCCGGCCTGGTAGTGGTGCCATTCCGCGGGATCAACGACAGCAATGTCGTTGGGAGCGAATTTCCCGGACCGTCTCAGCTTTTGACTGACGGTCAGACCGGCGGATCCGCCGCCGATGACAATGACCTTGTGGCTTCGCGACGCAGTTCCAACAGGGGAAACGGTTGCGAACGCGCGAGTGGCTGAGCTCGCACAAGAGGCCACGCGAGCGGCGGGTTTGAGGGATTGGCAGAGCATTGCGAATGGAGCTGAAGGGTAGAGAGAGAAACGAAGAAGAGAGAATGAAGGATGAAAGCTGAAAGCTGAAGAGAAACTCAGGCGGCTATAAATGAGCGAGAATAAAAGGAAGCTGACCCACTGGAGAGATTAAGTGAGAGATTTGAAGGACGGAACGACGGACGGTTCGGCCAGAGCGGCTGCGGGACGGGCATTTCTGCATAACATGAAAGCCAAGGAGTCATGTTGTCCTGCATTCGCCGAAATGCGGACGCACAGACGAGTAAGAAATATCGATCAGAGTGTTGAGTGAGACTGTCTGTCAATGCGCCGAGTACCGCGGAGGTCGGGGGACCGATTCATCGCTGAGTGCATTGTGACAGGGAGAAATCTGAGATGTGAGCAAGTTATTACATCAGGAATCAGACCAGGGAGGGTGGAAACTACTACGATAGATAACCTCTGGGGAGACAAGGGCGGGACTGGCCAGCTTAACGGCTCGGAACACATGGGAACTATTTTAGACTCTGCCGCCGACCGGTTTGGACAAGGATCAGAGGAACGGGGTAGTAGACAGTTAAGACAAGGGCTTTACAATTGCCAAGAGGTTAGAATTCCTTCCCCCACTCGGCCGTTGGTTTCTGGCAGCCCCGGCCATCGGCATCGGTGCTGATGGGTACAGCCCCGGGCGGAAACAAGGAAGAGGAGGGGCCAGGAGATTTTCGTTCCAAATAGCCCCGGCCCCATGAGATCGATGCATGAAACATTATATCACATGCCATCAGGCCAAGGCTGATAGGGACGGTGGGAGGCACTCGGTGGCTCTAACTGCCTCCGGACCGACGCTCGGGGCCGGTCGCCGACTGATCGCCGACTGCTAGTCCGGGGTCTTCGGCGACCATTGTTAGTATTTCTTTGAGTTCGAGAGACACTCGCTCTGTATGGCTCTACCTTGCCTCTTCATCTCCATCCAGTCCAAGACATTCAACCAAGTATTCAAGCTTCTTACCATAATGTATGCACTGCGTCCTCAGCTGCGAAGAGGGAGCACCCGTCTCCTGCAAGTATCTTCAAGAAGGGGGCTACCGGCCCGAGAAACGTTGACATGTCTTCAAATCAGGTCACAGGCAACAGCTGCAAGCCCTACTAGCGGACAGCGTCCAAGTCACGATAATGGATTGGCTGCGCCGTGCCCAAGCCAGCTCCATTCGCAGCACGCAACAGCCGGCGTGGCTACCCAAGCATCGTACTCTACCGCAGCCCCAGCTATCAGCGATCCCATCATCCACGACATCTTCGAAGACGTGACCTGTACGTGGCAGTACGTGGTGGCAGACCCGGTCACATCGACAGCGGCCATAATCGACCCTGTCCTGGACTTTGACCCCATTTCTCGGGCTATCACCACCACCTCGGCCGACAAATTGCTATCTCTTGTGAGAGAGAATGGCTATCAAGTTTCCAGAATCTTGGAGACGCATGCACACGCTGACCACCTCACTGCGGCATCGTATCTCCAGAAGCGGCTGGGCGAGGAGCAAGGTGGCTTGCAGCCTTCCATTGGCATCGGGAAGCGTATCGGAGGGGTCCAGAAATTCTTCGGTACTCGCTATGGAGTTCCCGGGGAGGAGTATAGTGTTGTTTTTGACAAGCTCTTCGAGGATGAGGAGACCTTCAAGATCGGGTCTCTCCATGCATCGGTGATGCATTTGCCTGGCCACACGCCAGATCATATAGGCTACAGAATTGGAGGTATGATTCATCCCTCCCGACTGGAAGCAATCGTCTTCTTTCTCTTAGTTTAGAGTTGAAACTGACTATCTCCTTACAGATAATGTTTTTTGCGGTGACTCAATCTTCCATACAGATATTGGAACCGCCCGCTGCGATTTCCCAGGTGGTAGTGCAAGCACCTTGTTTCAGTCCACTCACAAGCTACTTGAGCTACCAGATGCAGTCAAGATCTGGGTAGGTCATGATTATCCCCCAGAGGGCCGCGATGGTCCCGTGGCATGGGCAAGTGTCAAGGATCATAAGGCCGAAAACAAACATATCAAAACAGGCGTCACGGAGGAGGAGTTCGTTGCCCTTCGCAACAAAAGAGATGCAGGTCTTGGAGAGCCAAGGCTTCTCCACCAGTCTCTGCAGGTTAATATCAGAGGAGGGCGGTTGCCTTTACCGAATGCTAGGGGAGAAAGAATGCTCCATACACCGTTGAGAACGGGAGGCGCGGAATGGTAACGAGAGAATTACTCCCCAGTGCCAGAAAACAGGACTGTTTTGTATTATTATTTTTGTCTGTTTCACAATAGCAAGTTATGTCTATCTCCTTTCAACTCAATTGATGTATTCAATCTTTCGCTGAACAGATCCTTTCTTATTTACTTATCAAAGATACCCGCCAATGTGGGTGAGTGGTCGTATCTGGCCTGCGGCATTGTGGCTAAAACCATAAGGTATAGACTGAATCTGATTGGCGAGGAGGCATGCAGGGCACAGTCAGAGCCAGTTACCATTCCGAGCGAGAAGGCGGCGACACACATCGCTGAATCAGCTTATTTGGACAAGGGCTTTGTCTCTTTCAGCTGGACTGTCCCGCACTTGTGTCCACTCTTAGGAGCACCGCTCGGGGAAATCACCTTCTTTCGGAAAGATGACCTTTTTGGTTTGTACTTCTCACCTCGGCAGTTGGCGCATGGCTCGTTTCATAGGGTGTCCTTTTGATATATAGCTTCGTGCTGAATAGCGGCAGCCAGATAATTTCATAGAGTCCACGTCAATAGTTGAGCTTTATTGTCCCACCCACTCTCTGCCCTCTGCTTCTCTTTGGGCAAAAGTCCCTTACAGAGGACTGTCTAATTTGGGCTCAAGAGTGTAGAATCAGAACGCCTCGCATCCTTTTGATCCACCTTCAGCTCATTTGTGACGTAGGATCCACCTCGAGACCGATATAAAAGCTGCCCATAGTCCTCACTTCTCTCTTCATTTGAGCATCCTCATCAATCAATCCAATAAGCACAGCCATAGACAAGATCCTCAAGTCCCTCTTTCACAATGCGCTTGCTAAACC